GTGTGGAAGTCTAAGTTACCTTCTGCTGGTTTACAGTCTACAGTGTGGAAGTCTAAGTTACCTTCTGCTGGTTTACAGTCTAGAGTGTGTAAGTCTACAGTAACCTTCTGCTGGTTTACAGTCTAGTGTGTGGAAGTCTACAGTAACCTTCTGCTGGTTTACAGTCTACAGTGTGGACGTCTAAGTTACCTTCTGCTGGTTTACAGTCTAGAGTGTGGAAGTATACAGAAATATTTGTCTGTCATACTCATTTAATAGTCATCATCATTATTATAATTGTCGTCTTTGTTATTCACAGTATCATTAAATTTCTCACGTTAATTATTCAGAATATTAGTAGATTTCTTGTATTTAATATCCAAATTATCATTACATATTTTGCATTCGTTATTTATAGCGTTATTAGATTTCTCGTGTTTGTTATTTAAGGTATTATAAGATTTCTTCTATTTCTTATTTACAGTTTTTCTTCTCCCTAAAGTAGGAAATTTAATCTTTATTCCGCTCTTATTATATTATTTTCAGTTTCCTCTCATTAACATTAAAAGTCTATCTATTTTTAAATGCATTTTATCCACTCATTATCTAGAGCCTGGCTTTTTAAACATTGAAACAACAAAACTAAAGTAATATACTTTATTATGAGTTCGGAATGTAAGTTTGTAATCTTCCTACCTCCACTGGAGATGTTATTAAGGGGTCTTCTGTACTGGTACAGAGATACGGTGAGCCCCGTGCTCCGAACTGATAACCGTGAAGGCCTTAAGTGGAGAAATGGCCACGTGGGTAAGTTTTTCTGCACAACTTCGGGCTGTAAGTCTCCGCTCTTGTATAGTCGCAGTTTTGCTACTTTAACCTTTATAGGTGAATTAGTTGGCGTGAAATTAACGTCGTAGTAAATGTTAAAATTCGTTTCATTTTCCCAGAATTCTCTGTTAATACTTGCTGGTACTGAACCTATAAGAAAGAATGCATATTACTGCTGGATGACCTAAAGAATACATATTACTGCTGTATGACCTAAAGAATACATATTACTGCTGTATGACCTATAGAATACATATTACTGCTGTATGACCTAAAGAATACATATTACTGCTGTATGACCTAAAGAATACATATTACTGCTGGATGACCTAAAGAATACATGTTACTGCTTGATGACCTAAAGAATACATATTACTGCTGGATGACCTAAAGAATACATATTACTGCTGTATGACCTAAAGAATACATATTACTGCTGTATGACCTATAGAATAGATATCACTGCTGTATGACCTAAAGAATACATATTACTGCTGTATGACCTAAAGAACACATGTTACTGCTTGATGACCTAAAGAATACATGTTACTGCTTGATGACCTAAAGAATACATATTACTGCTTGATGACCTAAAGAATACATATTACTGCTTGATGACCTATAGAATACATATTACTGCTGTATGACCTAAAGAATATATATTACTGCTGGATGACCTAAAGAATACATATTACTGCTTGATGACCTAAAGAATACATATTACTGTTGTATGACCTAAAAAATACATATTACTGCTGGATGACCTAAAGAATACATATTACTGCTTGATGACCTATAGAATACATATTACTGCTGTATGACCTCAAGAATATATATTACTGCTGTATGACCTAAAGAATACATATTACTGCTGGATCACCTAAAGAATACATATTACTGCTTGATGACCTAAAGAATACATATTACTGCTGTATGACCTAAAGAATACATATTACTGCTTGATGACCTAAATAATACATATTACTGCTGGATGACCTAAAGAATACATATTACCGCTTGATGATCTAAATTACATACAAGATGAACAACGTCCCTGTTCACAACAATTACATACAGGATGAACAACGATGAGAAAACGTGACAAGAGAAGAACAACAATGTACTAAATATTTAATTGAAACGTTTTTATTAATGTAAATCCATCGATTAGATATATATGTTTCACTAAAGTTAAGAATAACATATAATCTGTAAAACTAAACGCTTTGTTGTGGTAGTGAAGTAAGACAATTATCATTATAGTCTAGTTTTCTTTATCATTACTTTCAATAACGAAACTGATTAGAAATGTTTATGTGTGTGTGTGTGTGTGTTATAGTTTTCTTACTTTTAATCTATTACGCTTATATTTTTATCCTAAAGATTATTTTACATTTTTAGCTTAAAAAGATTTCAAATTACCCTAAATCTGCTAAGCTAGCCAGGCCTCGTGAGATTAAGGTAGAAAATATCATTACAGAAAGGTTAAATAGCTGATGAATCAACACATTTTAATTGTTTTGGGTAAGAACGTGAGAACAATATACTTAATTAGCTCTGTTCATTAAGTGTTGGTCTTTAGAGTTATTGTTAGCTTGGTTTGCACATAAGTTAATACTAATCTTCAACACAGCACACGCTGCTCTAAATAAATGTTGGAGAGACACTTCAATTCTTTTATTATTGTTATCAAACTCTCCAGTATTAAGGTCAACAGAACGATAAATATCCACATTTAAGATCCTTCACGCCCTCTAACGGAAGAAGTAAGAAGTAGTAAGTACTCAGATAACTACTGATGCCCTTGAAATTTGAAAAACAGAGGTGCGAACTGTACTGATACTTACATGAAGGGTAAAAACTCTGCAATTTCTCGACAAACATAGAACCTTCTTGAGATTCATCTATTTTATTCAAAACCTTTGCTAGATGTTGGTGAACCTTTTTCGGAAATATTGATGTCGACACGTTGGGTTCCTGTGACATTCCGACTCCACGTAGTATAAGACTCTTTATTCTTTCGAGCCAGTCCTGTTTCATCCTGAAATAGACACATCGGTAACATCTAGAACCGTAACATTGTAAACATATACCTCGGTAACATCTAGAAATGTGGCATTGTAAACAAACCCTTAAGTAACACCTAGAACCGTAACATTGTAAACATATACCTCGGTAACATCTAGAAATATGGCATTGTAAACAAACACTTAAGTAACACCTAGAAACGTAACATTGTAAACATATACCTCGGTAACATCTAGAAATGTATGGCATTGTAAACAAACCCTTAAGTAACACCTAGAAACGTAACATTGTAAACATATACCTCGGTAACATCTAGAAATATGGCATTGTAAACAAACCCTTAAGTAACATCTAGGATATGTTTACAATGTTACGTTTACCTCGGTAACATCTAGAAATATGGCATTGTAAACAAACCCTTAAGAACGCCTAGAAACGTAACATTGTAAACATATACCTCGGTAACATCTAGAAATGTGGCATTGTAAACAAACTCTTAAGTAACACCTAGAAACGTGAAAATGAAATTATGAATGTGAAATATTGTAAATAGGGTTGTGAATTAGAAGAGAAAGAAAAAAACTCTCATTAAATGATAAGTTTATTTACAGGAAAATAATAATTATTTCTGAAACTTTCCAAAATACTTATTGTATGTTATTTCTTATCGAACTATCATTATTAGCTAATTACATACTTATAATAGAATATTCTACGTAATTTTTATTTGATATTCACAAACATATCTAGATAACATAGCCATTATTATTTATAAATACGAACCTTTTACGAAAATAATTATTAATTATAAATACGTTTACTAATAAAAACTAGATGCCCGAACGTTTAAACTTACATATTATGACAATTATTGAAGTCACCAAGCTTTATCTAAAGGTTGCTATATTTTTCGGTGTGTCACGGACAATTTATCATCAGGAAGATAACACCAGTGAAATACTGTTCCGATGTGTACAGACTTGATATGTCTGGATGATTATGTTGTGTACAGTCGTGATCTGTCTGTATAATTATGATGTGTGCAGTATAAATATGTCTGCATAATTATGATGTGTGCAGTATAAATATGTCTGGATAATTATGATATGTACAGTCATGATCTACCTGGATTATTATGATATGTACAGTCGTGATCTACCTGGATTATTATGATATGTACAATCGTGATCTGCCTGGATTATTATGATATGTACAGTCGTGATCTACCTGGATTATTATGATATGTACAGTCGTGATCTGCCTGGATTATTATGATATGTACAGTCGTGATCTACCTGGATTATTATGATGTGTACAGTCCTAATCTGTTTGAATAATTATGATGAGTACATTCCCGATCTGTCTGTATAACTATAATATGTACAGTTGTGATCTATCTGGATAATTATAATTTGTACAATTGTGATCTATCTGGATAATTATCGTGTGTGCAGTCTTGATATGTCTGGATAATTATGATGTATACAGTCCAAATCAATCTGGATAATTATGATATGTACAGTCGTGATCTATCTGGATAATTATCATGTGTGCGGTATAAATCTGTCTGAATAATTATGATATGTACAGTCGTGATCTGCCTGGATTATTATTGTGTATACAATATTGATCTGTCTGGATAATTATGATGTATACAGTCTAACTCTGTCTGGATAATTATGATGTATACAGTCTAACTCTGTCTGGATAATTATGATGTATACAGTCTAACTCTGTCTGGATACTTATGATGTACACAGTCTAACTCTGTCTGGATAATTATGATATGTACAGTCGTGATCTATCTGGATAATTATCATGTGTGCGGTATAAATCTGTCTGAATAATTATGATATGTACAGTCGTGATCTGCCTGGATAATTATGATGTATACAGTCTAACTCTGTCTGGATAATTATGATGTATACAGTCTTGATCTGAGGAGATAATTACAATCTCAAACTGTCTCTATATTTATGTTGTGTAAAGTTTGGATAATTAAATGGAAATCGTATATAAACCTTGGAGAAAATGTTACCAAGGGCATATATATTTAAATAATATTGTTGCAACCTTTGCTTTTACGGATACCTTGGCAAGATTTTCAGACATTTCTTTTTTAATCATCTTAAAACTTTCTACTTATTTCTTTTAGGAAACGAAACATCCACGCCAAGGATGGTAAGAGACTCTCTCCCCACAAGCTTATAATAGCCTCTCACGTTAAGCATCCAGACAAGGGATATATTCAGCGTTTTGGGTCTAGAGCGGCACCTTTGATGTTACTATAATTTGACAAGGACTAAATGTCAAGCGTATTCGCTTAGTCTGCACAGGTCTGGTTAACAAAAACACCATTAAACATGGACGTGCTCAGAAACACGGACAGCTTTCGTGATATAACAGCGTTTCCTGGAAGGACTTTTCAAAAGATATAGTCATGACGTAAATGATGACGTAGAAAGAACATTGCTGGCCAAGTTTTCCGCATAAACAAAATCTGTCACGTGTGAAAGTTTACAGGTGATGTCAAATGTGTCCCCAATAACAGCTTATGGGTTCTGGACAAGGTAACTTATTATACAGAAATATAACAACTCATTAGAGCATGAAGCCAGCATAAGGCCACCTGAGGAATGTTATAAAACATATAATATTCGATAGTGCACGAAGTATACATCTACTGTTCCTGTGTCCTGTAGGTCATATTATGTTATAGAACATATAATATTCGATAGTGCACGAAGTATACATCTACTGTTCCTGTGTCCTGTAGGTCATATTATGTTATAGAACATATAATATTCGATAGTGCACGAAGTAAACACTTGATATGCATGTGTCCTGTAGGTCATATTATGTTATAGAACATATAATATTCGATAGTGCACGAAGTAAACACTTGATATGCATGTGTTCTGTAGGTCATATTATGTTATAGAACATATAATATTCGATAGTGCACGAAGTAAACACTTGATATGCATGTGTTCTGTAGGTCATATTATGTTATAAAACATATGCGATAGAGCACGAAGTAAACACTTGATATGCATGTGTTCTGTAGGTCATATTATGTTATAAAACAAATGCGATAGTGTAAGTAGCTTGTTTTAATTAACATTAACCAATTCTCAATAACTGATAACATCAACACCAACCTCATCAAGAAGCTATTTCTACATTATGTTAACTTTCATGAGCTGGGATATAACAGAAAGTCTGTCTGAGCTGATCAATAAGTAATATTCTGTGGTACACAAGCAGGAGTGTTTGATGTTGTAAACACAAACTCGAAATATTTTTTCCCAAACTCCAATTTAACATGATTAACTTTTGAAGATGTTAAGAATCCCATGAGATGGATGACATTAACATTTAATTAGATTGAGTTAACATTTTTCATTATGATGTTTCGATGGTGTTTTTAGCCCTTGTTGATCTGTAGAGTGTACTGATTCCTAAACTTTAACCTTTCTTGATTCTGAAACGCAGTTTTAATCGTAGAGAAAAAAATGTATATAATTTCAACCGCTTTCATACTGATCCTAATATAATAGAACATACTTTTCGATCTGGCTTATATTTCATTTTATGTTTAATACGAGCCTTTCAACAATAAACTAAAAACTTTCTGATATTTTAAACTTACAAATTAGTTTTCTGTAACCTATCTATCGGGGAAACAAACAGGCACAACCATGATTTCTTATCTAGCAGTCCTACTAATGTTCAAATCTGTCTGGTTATGTTAGTATTTTACTAAAAATCCAACCTTAAAATAAATAAAATTTAGGTTGAAACGCCGAATCATGGGGAAGCATTAGGTTTAAGATTTGTGACAAAATTAGGGAACTGCAAATGTTTCTTTTCTACAATCCTTTTAATTTGTCCATTTCGGATTCAAAATCAGAAGCTATTGAAAACACAAAAAAACTTCTTCAGTTTATGAGATGTTTATCACAAAATTTATAACTACTGATAAATATATGATTAATTTAGAATTTTCTAAAACTTATAATGAAAAAAGTTATTAAAATTCGAAAAGTTTTTATTCAGACACTTTTAGTTTTGTATACTTGAACTTTCGAAAATTAACTGTTTTTTTTATTCGAGTTTTTATGAAAACTTGGACGTTAAGGGACATAACTCATAGTTCCTAACTGAAACATAAAGTTAAAATGTGGTCTCAAGCATGTTATGAAGTAACATTTGTTAGAGGAAGTAAATAAACTGATTAGAGTATAAACCACACGTAGAAAAAATCAAAAAGTAACAAACATATATTCTTATTAACTGACATGCATTGACTTAACCATTTTGATAAGCTACACATTAATAGACAGGTTCTCTCCTCTGTCATTAAATGATCTATTATTTTATTCAGCTAAAGTTTATAATAAAGATTTTCTCTACTGTCATCAAATGATCTATTATTTTATTCAGCTAAAGTTTATAATAAAGATTTTCTCTACTGTCATCAAATGATCTATTATTTTATTCAGCTAAAGTTTATGATAAATATTTTCTCTACTGTCATCAAATGATCTATTATTTTATTCAGCTAAAGTTTATGATAAATATTTTCTCTACTGTCATCA